AGCACACAGAATCTTTAATATTGGAATTTTCACTCTCTGAATGGGCCTAGACTTTTGCTTTTAGTCAAAGGTGGGAGTAAGGACATTAAAAAAAAAGCTTTCAAAAGAAGCCTTTTACCTTCTGTCATAGTTGTAATTGTGGATTCATGACAACGGCAGAGCTCCTGCAACATGCAGCTACATTTTGTCATGGTCTATTGAGGCTGTGAGAGGAGAAGTAATGTATGTACGCTCCCGTTCTCCCTGTATGATGGCTGTTAAATGGCCAGGAAAGACACTTTGATATTGACATCGACACCTTACATTTACTGTTCATGTTTTCAGTACATGTGAAAGATTGTATCGCTGGAAATGTCACCACCAAACTGCAGCATGTTGTCTGTTATCTAGTCGAACAAGAAAAATACACACCTAAACAACATGGGCTCAGAAAACCGTTTTTTAAAGAGTTTAATCCACTTGTTCAGTACTTGATGTCATTAGTACCCTAATCACAGTAAAACATGTCTGCTGGTTGAAGAGTGTATCAAAATGTAACTGGCAGGCGTAGCATACATGAAAGAGGATGATGTGATTTCTGGGGAGATCTGCAGCTTACCTGATGATGTATTACTGTATTGTATTAAAACTAATCTTTGAGTCAAATGAGGGGGTGAAAAGAATCCACCCGGAAAGTCACACTTGCGATGTGTGCAGCAGGAAATGGGGTTTAATTACTCAAGAACAAGTCAAGGTTCATACTTAAGTCAAAGGTTGAATCCATAGTGTAGATTTGATTTAGATTATTGAGCACCTTGCTGCATAAATTTGTGCATTAATGAAGAAAAATGGCAGTGCAGGTCTGAACAGGTTTTGCTGTGTCAAGGGGCGGGTTTCTCCTAAACTAATGGAGGTTTTTGACTAATTATACTTGAATAAAAAGTATTACAATATTATAATGCTTACTGTCAGGAACGTTTAGCTGGTTGTGAAACAGTTTGAATTTAATACGGATGCCTCTATATGACCTGATTATAAATAAACCAGCGGAAGGATTGCCTATTTCTGTATAGTTTGTCACTGGAGCCGCTGGGCCCAGTTCCGGCAAGATCCAATGAAATCATTCAAGTTTACCAGAAACTCCTTCACCTCAGACTCCATTGGGGACACCAGCAGCAACCAGCCTGCTGCGGACAGACCCAGATCCGGCTTCACCTGCAGTCGGAAGCTGTGGCGGCCGCGTTCTGGCAGCAGCAGCTCATCCTTCGGCCAGTAGCAGAGCGTCACCTCGCTGCTCCGTTGGTCCCCATTGGGAGCCAACATCGACACATACGTATGCGGCTCAAGACTCAGGCTGTATTCTTTTGCCCAACGGAGGCACAGGGTAACCAGAACCAGGACTGCGGCGGGTAGCCTGTCAGACCCTGCTGCAGTAAAATTTAAAGTTTTTCAAAAGGACTCTGGTGCTCAGGAACACTACCGCTTTTGTCCACAGGGGCCGCCCAAATCACCATAAAATTTAAATTCCTCATAATAGCTTTAAGTATAGCCTCATGCCATCTTATTCTTTATGTCAACTGGATCTTACAGTCTCGTGTAGGGCTGCCCTCTCTTAGTCAATTAGTCGACTAATCTGTTGACTAATCTCTGGTAAACACTAGATTTAAAGTGGTGCTACTGTGTGATTTCTTGTTGGGGAAACTTGGTTATACAAATTGGTTGATTAAATCAACTAATCGGTAAGTCGTCAAAATAGTTTAAGCCCTTGTGTCATGTTCTGGTTGTGCTTTGGCTCAGTCATGGTTTCAATGTCAACTGGAACCATCTCAAAAGAATAAAATCTGTTTTTCAGCACCTACATTTATATATGTGTGTGTGTGTGTGTGTGTGTGTGTTTTACAAGCATGCACACATTTCCTTTAGCTGTGGTATCAGATGTTTAATGGCTGTACCTTTTGTCATCTGTAATTGTCCCTGTCATCACTCATTTTAAATGGCAATATAGCTGATCACACAGCACAGCTGTTGTCATTAGCCTGATTTTTGTTTGTTTCCTGTGACGCTGCCCCAGTGGAGCAGCTTGGTAATGATTATTGGTCAACATTGTGTTTATTTATCAAATTTCATATCTGTCCATTACCTGACAACAGAAACAGAAAATCTGTAAATTTAGACATCTAAACACTATATTTGTGATCACAGAGCTTTGTCCCTACCTTTTCTCTTTCATGCATTTTTATTTTCCCTCTCTACCTTTATCTCACGACTGCAAACATGAATAATTATTTCTGCTGTATGTGTTAAGAGCAAGTTGATAACAAATGCAATGCACCATTAACTATCAGATAAACTTGCAATACATTTGTGCTTTTATATACATTCCAGAGGTCAATATGTACCCAACAGAAGGCATGCGGTGCAGAAATGCCAGACGAGGTTTGAGGTCATTTGGAAACACTGTCTCTCTCATGTAGTTCATCCCACACAGAGCACTGACAAGTGGATTTTTTTAAATTGTAAAAAGTCTTTCTTAGTATGTATCTTCGTCACAGTTCTTAAAAAACACACTTATCTAAGATTATGGAAAAACTACTATTGTAATTTTTTCCCCCCTAAACTCTCAAAAAAACGGCAGTAGGGCTAAAAATAGTCCCGGCTCATGTATAGCAGAGTGGAGAAAAAAAAGCGTTGAGCGTCGCTCATGTCGCGGAGCAGGTGGTCATTTCCATACCGGTCAGAATGGCAGCACATCGTCTCCTGGCAGCCACGGCGGATCTGGACCCAGTGGTTAGCAGCCTTGAAGTGATTCTGGCCTGAAGTCATAATAACGATGCTGGCGTATATTGTATGTGCACCCTTAACTTTATTTCACAGTACTTTGTCTGAAAGCAGATAACATAGTATTAAGAAATAAAATAAAAAAAACACATTTTTGTGCTCTTGTTTGTTTTGATGCACTTGAACAACAACTGTCGATCTTTCTAAAGGTTTTATCAACACTCTTATTAGACACAGAAGTGCTACAATATGCAGTATAAAAAACATGTCGCTAAATAGCCAAATGAACTAGAAACCTGACAGCTCTCAGAGGATACTGAAATGCTTTTATAAAAATAACAACGAATGGAAACTCGTCAACAATATCAACATTGAAATGAAACAAAAAGAAATTTACACTTATACACATATCCCAAAATCTTAAGGCGGTTGAAATATTAAGTTAGACAACCAAGTTAACACTTTAGAAGGTGCTTACATAACACATTCACATCAGGCTCATGAATGCTTCATTTCACATCAATGAGTAAAAGCAGCGTCATGACGCACTTCCATGAAATGGACGCATCATTGTGACAGAGAAAATACAAAAGGGCTAACTCATGCCCGCAGTTATACTTACATACTCAGTGACTAAAGGGAGAATAAAGAGTTGATAAGAAAATATGTCACCGGATAAATGAAGTCCCTCAAGTCAACTATGCTATCGCCTCAATACACAGCACATAGAGTTTGTCTGTCCTGCTTTTCATTCATGGCTGTTGAAGTGTTTAATATTCACGCAAAGGGCTGATGTTCACTGTTTAACCTCAAACAGCTGTTCTCTACTTTTTAATAAACCCCCGTCCTGCATTGACAATACATTTAGAGTTACTTCATTACAATTCTTCAGATGAGTGGGAGAGTTGAAATACAAATGTGTTTATCATCCATGAATATGAATAGTGAGTCATCATGAGCCTGTTTTGGAATAAGTTACATAAACACCTTAAAAAGATAAAGCATCAATATTTACTGAAATAAAATGTCATGATATACAAATTCACGGCCAGTAAGTCAGAGGATTCAGTTTCACAATCTCAAATTTTACTCTAGCACGTTGATATTCGTCTGGTACGTAGCTTTCATAATATACAAAAAGATTTAACAGCCTAGCAGTTTAAGAATACAACGAAACCTCTCAGCAAGCAACAAGGCCCATCCGGAGAACAAACTACTTTCCTGCATTAATTGGATCAGACATTATGGAATTTAATACATGGGAAGAAATATTGAAGCAAAGGAAAAAACACAGTTGGTAATAGCATGAAATTAATATTTTTTTTACATAAAAGCTGCCATAGACAGATCAGAATATGTATCTGTTACATTCATCCATCGGGCTCTCCTGCAGGGAAGAGCAGCGGCCTCTACCTAAACAACAGGTGACAAAGAATAGCTGCCTCCCCTTTAAAATGTTAGAGATTAATATAGGCTTTCAATACCATATCCTGTATGTGGATATTATTGTTTCCCAATGTCTTCAGTAACTGATACAATAAAAAAGGAGAGACACATGGACCTACGGCTGTATGTTCTTACGATTCCCATATTGTAAACATTTCAGCTTTTTCTACTTTGGTACTAAAGATACAAATGATGGTTCAAGAAACTGATGATTGAGACTTTCATTACAGCATGGAGTATACCGCATCTTGTCTGCATGAAGTCTATCAGAATCCATGCAGTGAACACTGCGTTGTGTGATAAAGGGGACATTAAAACGGAATCCGTCTGGATCTTTTAAATGCATGTAAAAGCTTTAAAAAAAGAAAAGAATAAAAAAACAGGCGGTGATGGTTAAAATGACAAAAGGTTTAAAGTGTCTGTTCTTCAGCAACAAGTTCTTCTAAATGAACAGCGCTCCGTTTGATAAACCTGATTCATCCACTAATACTTATCCAGTTACACAGCAAACATTGCAAATATAGATACCCATATCTGTACATAGTTTTTGTTGAATTAAATATATAGGGAGGGAAGAAAAAAAAAGTTCTTTTTGAATGAAGGGTCCAAATAATTCCTCAAAAACTGTTGAGGTTTCAGTCAACATATCTTCATATAGTAGTTTCATATTACACAACAGCAAATCCACTGTCACAGGACTTGGCCATGCAATACCCAAAAACCTATAATCCATTGTAACATATATATATATATATATATATATATATATATATATATATATATATATATATATTATTAATTTGCAAGATATTTTCTCTTCAATCGATAAAAGTTTTCCAGATGAATGCTTTACATAATATGACAAATTTAAAGACTCTTTAACCCATTTTCCTCACACTCAAAAGAGAATGTGATACACATGAGCGAGTAGTTGATTATAATATGGAAGTATCCATTGATTCAATTGTCAAGATGAGGTTCTTGTGTCATCTCTGCAATGTGTGGTCCATTTTAAAAACACCTAAAGAGGTTATGATTTCTGTTGGGATGATACACCTTTCCAGTAGTCTAAAATATCATGCAGGTCCTCATCCTTTGCAAACTGGACTTTCTTACGCAGAGCATGGCCCGCAGCCATGTACTCCTCATCTTTGTGCCGTTTCCGGTGCAGTTTGAATCGCTCCCAGATGCTGTGTGAGGGTTTGCAGTAGTATTCAGGACTGGAGGAGTAGCTTAGATTGTGATAATGCGATGACAGCTGGGAATAAGCTAAGTCTCTGGAGCGGGAGTGAGTGAGAGGCTCCAACAGGGATTTGCGGCCATCGGGTCTTTCAAGCTCCTCTATGTGAGCGTCGGGATACGAGTGCCGGTGGTCGTTGTACTGACGGATCTTCTCTGCCTCGGCCCTTAGGATGGTGGCAGCGGGCGTTACAGTGAGGAGGGTCTCTCCTTTTGGGGAGCTTTTCTCTATGTACTTTGATTCAGAGCGATAAGGCCTGGGGCTTCGCATGGGCCCTCCTGTGGCAGTGCTGGGCCTCTTTGGTGAGACGTCAGAGGTCCGATGCCTCTGCAGAGAGTGGTGATAGCTGTCCGTATACACTGGGGACAGAAGGACAGATTTACTCTGTGGGTGTTCCGATATTAGTACGAGCTGGGGCTCTGCAGTGGACACTGCACCAGATTTCCCTTGAAAAGAGGTGGATTCTGACTTAAGAGCGTCTATACAGTTGTTAATTATCTGATTGACTTTATCCACCTCCTTTGCAATGGTGGAAATCTCTGCCACCGACCCCTGGCTATTCCCAGCCATTCCCATGTCACACTCCCTGCGTTCATGGTGGTCCACGCTCCGCACCTCCATGTAATTTCCTTTCATCATTTTAGGAGTGTCACTTACCTCTTGAAATTTGTACTGCTCCATTTCAGCCGCAGATGGCAAGTATGGCATACGTGCCATGCTCTCCCCGGCCAACAACTGCTTCTGCGACATTCGAGAAATAGTTGCTCCCTCCAGCTCTTGTCCGTATTTGAGTTTGATATTTTTCTTCAGGCTACCTGCTTTTTTGTGCTTTTCATCTTGCTGACGCTTTCTACGCAGGCAATAGTAGACCACACCCAGGAAAATGACCATGCTGAAGAGGCAGCCCAAAATCGTCATAATGTAGTGAGTAGCAGTTGCATTGTTTACATCTCTAACCTTTCCATTCAAAGTGCCAGTGGTGATTGTCAGACAAGTGTGGTTGTGTCTAAGAGAGTTACGTATGGAAGCGACACAGTACGTGTAGTTAGTGTGGGGTTTAAGGTTATTTAGTTCAATGTCCTCTTTATTAGCTTTCAGGTTTTGAATATCGGTAAAAAAGCTGTTGTTGTACAGAACCAGGATGTACATCTTCTTGAAGGGGTGAGGAATCTGAACCATGATGGTCGCACCTGTATTCGTGACTTGCTTCAGTTTCATCAGAGGGTTTACTTCCACGTCGTTGTAGGTACTGATGGTGATGTCTTCTGGTTCTGTGCCTGAGGGACAATCTTCCATCCCACAGACTGTCAAGTCCGGTGGGGGTGTCACGGGCTCAGTGGGCACAGAAATAAATGGTGTCACATAATCATCCGTACACACAGTGGTGAGCATGTGAAGCGCATTTCGAAATGTTGGATTGTTCGGATTCTGGCTCAGTAAACTATAACCAGAGACGCCAGGTGGGGAGTCGCAGACCATCCGCTCATTTGTCCTGTTTGGGAAAACTGAGAGCCATTTGACGAAACCGAGTAGTTCACATGAGCAGTTGAAGGGGTTGGTGTACAGCTCGCAGGTGGTCAGTTTAGTCAAACTGGTAAACGTGGACCCGTCTAACTGCTGGATTCTGTTCATGGAGAGGTCAATGTTCTCTATGTTGGGGCATTCCCAAAAGGCATTGGGTGTCACAGTCTCAATCAGGTTTGCCTGGAGGTAGAGGTACTGCAGCTTTCCTAAGCCCCTGAGGATCCCCTCTGTCAGGTTCCGCATCTTGTTGAAGCCCATTTGAAGGACTTGTAAGTTGAACTGAGCAGAAAAGGCCCCATCCTCTATGTAGGAGATGTCATTCTTCGTCAGGTTCAGGTAGGTCAAGTTGGCAAAGCGACTAAGGGCAGAATAATGGATGCTTTTGATTTTGTTTTCATTCAGACGAAGGTCCACAATGGTGCTGTTGATATGCTGTGGGATGGCCTCATAAGGTGGTTGGTTTTGGCTACAAATTGCAAGCCATACAAAGCCCTTTTCCCCCTCAATTAACCAGCAGTCTCCACTGACTCTGCCGATATGAGTCAAATACACAATGGCTACAGACCAAAACAAGGCACTCATCACCACGCCTAAGCTGCAGGCCATGGGTGCTTCTCTGAGAGTCATGTGCAGGGCCCAAAAAAATGAGAGGAGGGTGATACCGCTGTGTGTTTCAGTGCAGCTGAGATCTTGTTGGAATTTCAGCCAGATGTTCAACTGTTCTCCGAGCCAGAAACAATCATTTTATTTGTCTCCTCTTCATTGATGGATGGTATTGTCCCCATGTACCAATCAGAAAGATGTGGAGAATCAGCCCTTACACTGAGTTTCTTTCATTGAGGTTTGCCTGCAGTGAAAACCGCCTCAGGTTGGCTTGTGCTTTTCTCCTTAGAGGTTACCGTCATTAAATGGTCTCATCTTATTGTTTCTGCCACTGTCTTCCTATCTGTGTCTCTCTCATGTGCACGGAGGAATAATCTGCAAAAGACAAGAACACATCGTTGACATTAATTACATGTCAGGAAAAAATCAGGATAAGAAATATACCTTTATTGCATTTGTTGCTATTGAAATGTTGCATTGAAAGCCCAGGATTCATGTTTACTGCATGCCCTCCTTGTTGTTGTCCCACCAATTATTTTGTCAACAATTTAAGACGCGGTCGCAGTACCTGTGGCAGACTGCAATTTAAGGAAGCTGTTGGCCAATTACCACTTGACAGGTTGAGGAAAGCAGGGTCCCTGTTTTCACACCATTAACCCCAGGACTGTCAGACGCAACTGAGGCTGGCCAATGTTAAGAAGCTGCATTCATTCAATTACACAACACCACATGAAATGACACTTTGGATCAAAGTATTTAGGATTTTCCTCTGAAAACCCTAAAATCCTTTTGAGCACTGATTCTAGAGGGAAATTGAGCACAAGGTGTGATTCTTGGATCATCCTAAAATGAAATGAGGTTTGCAAAGGGAGACGAGCCATGGTTGTAAAAACGGGAGCAAGAAAAAGAACAATCTCCAAATAATATTTTCTTCTCCGCTATACACTTCTTGTTAATCTTGCTTCTCAAATACAAAATACAGCATTTGTCATTCAAGTAGAGAAGAGTCATAAAGGGTGCAAAACTGACTCTTTAGTTGCACATGAATATTTATTAAAAGTTACCAATTATTAGCCACAGTGAACCAGACTGGCTGTAGTATAAAAAAAAACCTGAAGTGTATCAGACTAACTTGGGTGTGTTTGTTGTTTATGTGTTCAACTTTTAATTTGTAAAAGCATGTATGTGCTATTTCCTTTTTCAAGTTACACAGTGTTGCTTCCAAGTGTAGAGACTTCTTTCAGTGGATGGATTCAGAGCACGACCTTACTCTATTATATCACCAAATCATTCATTATTACAGCCTTCATTACTGCATATAATTGTCCAAGGGTACGGCTGCTGACACGGCAATGACCAAAATAAAATGTTATGCTGCCTGCTGCTCAGGTATGCGTCAGTGCTTGAAAGACTGCAATCACCAATAATAATGTGTCTTTTGAAGCAGTTTGCCGAATTGATTTTTTTGCAAGAGGATGTTTATACTGAAATTCATGAAGTAGATCAAAGAGAACACAATTTTAGAAGTTAATTGAGTTCGCTACAAGGAGATTACTGTTGGGCAACCTTAAATATTTAAGATTAGTGTTGACTATAGCATTAGCCACTAATTTGTAATCAACAAGAGTTAAAATGTGCTGGAAATGAGCTCATCAAACCATAAATATTGAAATGAGTAGTAATCTATTCTTCTCTTTTAGTTCACCAGCTCTGCCACTACCAACGGCCAAAATGAGTTGCCTTGTTGGGGGGACTCAGGGGGTGAAAAGGTGCTTTTGTATGTTAGAGAACATGGCTCCTCACAACAGGGATAATCACTGTTAGAATAAATTAAATGTGACAGTTTATGGCAGAGAGAATATACTTCATGTTGAAAAACCCCCACTTGCCATTGAGGACCTAAAGGCCATTCCCGCTGTCATTTGACCTTTTTCTGAGTTTAGTTAATCACATTAAAATCACACAGGTGTTGTGGTATTCCTCATCATGCATCAAGTCAGGGATACAAAAACTGACATTTTACTTGTTAGGTGATTGTGTCTTGTATTAAGTGTTATGGGACATTTTGGCTAGTAATTAGACAAATATACTTGGTAAGATTTTGTGTTTTCAAAGTGTCTGCACTGAAACATAATCGCTATTTTGACCTCTTTGTTTGTAGTTTTTAACTAGTCTGAATGTATTTGATTCCTGGGGATACTGAGCCAGGTTTGGTGTGTGTTTTGAGTTTCTCATGTTCGCCTTATTAGAGTTCAATCCCCGGATCTTCTTGCAGTGAAGCGACACTCTTAACCACTGAGCCAACTGGACCACCCAATAACAAATCCCACATTTTATATCCCCAAACAAACCCTGCCACACGGTGACAAAAACCTACAGTACGTAGAAACTGCCTGCTTGCACATACATACAGACGTTATCAGAATAATGTATAACTAATACCAGAATGATAATACATCTGCTGTTGGGTAAATAACAGCTGAATCGTCTCCAACAGTAAACACTGTGCTCTACGCTGATAAACTGATAATTTGAAAGTTGATAGTGTAATCTGACGCATTGCATGTTTCACACAGACTTAAGCTGGCCTACAGGGTGAGCTTATATGTGAATCTTTAGCTCATAGTTCAGCCTATTTGTGATTTATATTCCACACATTTACTGGAAATTGGAAAACTGGTATGTCTTCATTGCCAATTCACTATTTCTGCCTTCCAATTCCCACTCCTTACCAAATGTGGTAAATGAATGCAGCAAGTTGCTTTGCTATGTGTTGAATATACGCTGATATTTTGTTTAGTGGCAGACAGCGTGAAGATTTTAGCGGCAATATGAGTGTGACAATTTCAGTCCTGTAAAACTACAGCTCACTGCAAGTTTCATTCAACGGTGCATAAAAGACAGCGTTTTAAAGCGCAAGTGAAGGTGCACAGAAACCCTTTTTAAATGCCGTTCTCCTTGGCTCACACAATGCCAACAAATTATCATCAATCGGGCTGAGATGATTAAGTAAAAGCACTGGTCAGCTTGTCAGGGGAGATAAAGAGGAGAAATAAATGCTGTGGTGGAGGACACTGCAACAGAATGCCAAAGGCTGCCATTACAAAACCACCTTCATGGCGACAAAAGAGCAGCGGCAGAGGAGCATTGAAGAAAAGAACACTCTCGAAGCCTCCGGGAGGAAAGAGGCTCCAAATCAAATGTTCCATGAAATGAATATGAAAAAATACAGCTCTGCAGAATATCTGGCAAGGCAAAGGATCTCTTAAAGAAAACCGGCGCCTTGATGTTGTTTCCTAGTCTCTGACCTTTATTGCAAATATCACACGGCAGAGACTGAGTTCTTCTGACCCGATCTCCACCCGCTCACAGCGTGGCGCCGGTTCAAGATCCTTTAGCGGCTAAATGGAACTTTAAGTTTAACCCGAGAAATCTCCTCTCATTTACAATGCATTGGCTGTGTTTTGTTTGTCCACAGTGACTCACTCTAGTGAGCCTGCAACGGATTCACTGCCTCGCTTACTGAAAGCCATGCATAAATTACAGCCGGGCTAGAGCCCTCTGTGACTGTAAACACATATACACACAAGCTTGCTTACAATAATAGCTGATACTGTACAGGAGCATCTGCATGCAGATTTAAAATGAAAACACTGTATCTTAACTGTTGCACTCGTGTCCCAGAGAATCCACAGCATATACCAAGAAAAACAACGCCTGCGGTGTTGAGTTGTTTGGGGACAAACAAAGCTACCAACTACATTAAAATACATTTTTAGTACTTTGGTTTCATGCAAATCAGATCATATTGTATATGCAGATCTTCAAATAAGCCCAAGGCATCCAGCAGGGTGTGTTGCCTTTTGAGAGCTTAGGTCTATTTGCCACCACAGACCCACTTTCCATAATGGCAGCAATCTGTATGGTCCAGTGCTAGCCCTGAGTGCAGCAGGCCAGAACACCCAAGGCATCAAAGCTGAGTATATTCCCCTATCAGACACAGGCAGCCATTCCACATTCTCTTTTCCATTTAGGCTTTATGCGCTGGGTAATGAAGGTTTTTCTTTTTCTTTTGGTCGTCTGTGGATAACCTATTGAAACCCTGCTCTTGAACAGCGATTCAAACACTGTCTTGTACATTTTCTGTTGCGGTCGCTCTGGGCCTGTTCATACTTCACTTCTGCTCAGGAAATCATTGGTTTATCTTTTTATCAAAAAAAGGATGTTTTATCAAAAACATCACAGAAGTGGCTGTAAATGTGTAGAAACGGGTCTATATTTTATAGTTATACATATATAAGGTTTTTGCTAGCATCTAAAGCAACTAGATTTGAGCAAAGAGTTGTCCTGTGAAAAATAACAGCAGAGTTTGAATGTTGATACGGCCTCAAAGGAGAGGGTTGACGTGTTAGTGATAGTGACAGGTTGTGTCGTACTTTAAGGGGGATCTTTCAGCTGCAGTGGTTCTCTGTGTCTGGTTGGATTTCTTTAAACGTGAAGCAGACGAGTCGTCCTCTCTCACTCAGAGCCTCAGGAGTGCTGCTCCGCCACAAGAGCCAGTGCTTCAAGGCAAACTTTGACAGAAGCTCCGGAACGCCATATTGCGCGGAACGATCTCGAAACTGCTTCATCTCCTTCCCCACAAACATCGTATATTGTATGCAAACCAACCAGACTGCACCTCACCCCCCCCTCTCTATCTGTGCCTCTCAGTTTGTCAGTGTGTCTGTCCAGACAATTTCCCCGTGCATACTAAACACATTTGCTTTCTGTTCTATCTCCAAGTGTCTACAAAAGCGAGATATCAAAGGATCTGTTTTTACAGTTTGCAGCCGTGCTGTTTCTTGTTTCTCCCCGCGCCTCCTATCTTGTTCTTTGTGATGGTGATTTGGTGAAGGTGCCTCAATCTCCGAAGGACCCTCCTCATCCATACCAATGACGGCCCTTTATTTGATGTCATTGAAAATGTATGCTCTTCTGGCTGGGGTGAATGAAAAAGAAGTAAAGATTGGAAACCAGAAGTGGGGAATCAATTGAGTTTAAATGGAACTACTTCTCTCAGGGAAGGAAAACATTGTGCTCATTGAGGTACTGAATTGCTTTGGAGAGAAAGAGAACTGGGGCACATATGTCAGAGGATATTAAACTCATACATTAATTACTCTGGGAATATTGCCTGTAAAATAATTGATGGTCATTTCTTCATTAAGTACTGTTTGCTAAAACTTCAGCACTTATAGTGATATATTGTCAATTGGAACTTCTTGAGGCTGAAATAAAGTAATAAATGTGGTGATGAGATATTGTATTTGGAGTTACATAATGTACTGTCGGTGATTTTAAAACACAAAATTCCTTAAAAAATGTTAGATTGA